TTTTTTTGTATAGAAAAATAAAAATTTGTGTTGTCAAAATTCACCATATTCCGAACAAGTGAGTTCTACCGTTGGATAATCCTCGTCCTCTTTAATGCATGCTTGAAATTTTTTCAATAAACTTCGCTTTGGTGTTAATCTCTGATATTGATTTGATTCATTGTAGGTTTGAATCATGATCATGTTGCTATCTTTCGTAGAAAAATTGGATGAAAGTACTACGCTAAAAATGAAAAACAAAAAATATCGAACTGTCAAGATTAATCATTTACGTGTCATCGAATTAATTTAAATAAAAATTCAATCGTACAACCATTTTATTCATCTACTGAGAATAAATACAAATAATTTATTCTATGGACAATTTTTAATTTGTTTCAAATGATCATATAACCATAAAAAATCAAATAATTGAAAAAAAAAAGTGGATAATAAAAGGTCGATAAGTCTTACGTGTATCCTAAAAGGGAACAAATAGCTTGGGCGGTGACATGTTCCTTTGGTGGTATACATGCTGGCATAAATTTGCCCATTTCTGCGTGGTAAACTTCCAAAAGTCCTTCTCCTATATCGCCATTTCTTTTGTTCAATTTCACTAAACAAAAATTAAATTATATCAATTTTATTACGATTTTAAATCAAAAGAAAAACAATTCATTTCAGAACATATAAATAAAGCAAACAAATGACTATTGACAATTTTATCGAGGTCGCCATTTTGTCGGCACAATATTTATTAATTAAATATATTAAATAAAAAATATATATATATATATATAATATTTTTTAATATAAAATTTAATTTAACTATTTTTTATTTATTTTTTATTTTAATAAAATAATTTATATTAATATAAAATTATTAATATAAATATATTAAATATATGTATATTTATTTTTTAACATTTAAACATCTCTTAAAACATTTCTTATCCTTTTTATCTTTCATTTGTTTTGTTTCAATCGTAAAATAAAAATAAATAAAAAAGTAAAATATATTATTTTACCGCAATAACGTTCGTCCTGTCCCCATGGACAATCCATGACACCATCACAAATGTGACTAGCTTCCATGCACCTTCTTTCCCCGCAATGTATAGTTGCCTTTGATTGATTATTCTTCGACTGTCCAAATTTCTTTTTTTCAATTTTACTATGGGTGTTATTAAACTTTGACAATGAGGACATGGAACCGCAATCACCGCAACCGATCTCGTCGGTGAGATCGGCACAATCCAGATGACCGTCGCATCGCCAATCAACCGGTATGCATCGGTTACGGTCACATTGAAAACCACTGGTACATACTATACACAAACAAACAAACAAATAAACAAACAATGGAAAGAACAAAAACAACGAGGAGAAAAAATATTGAAAAAAAAAAAAAAATCTACAGAAAAAGACGTAGAAGCTAAAGTCAAATTAAGCTGGTAAAAGTGTGGGTTTAAAACTCTGTAAAAAAAAGAAAATAAATAAAAAAAATAAAAAGAAATATTCAGCGGGAATTTCGTTTTTCCAAAAAATATAAAAAGAAAAAAAGAAAAAAAAAATCCGTAGTATTTATCGATTTTTAATCTCGACCACCACCCACCCACCGGGTTCGTATATAAAAAAGAAAAAGAAAAAAAACATTGAACCGATCTTTCAAATTCCTCTAAACAATTTTTCATTCGTTTTACTCTTATCCTGTATCCTCGTCCTCTTTTTTTTTTTGCTTCATTTTTATTTTATCGCATTAAAAAATTATATTTATACGACATGTGAGAAGTAATTTGTCACTAGCAGCAGCAGACTTGTGTTTTCTAAAATCATAATCTACGTTTAAATCCAAATAATTAGTTGAAACGTCGTCGAGACACGATTTGTATGTTTCCCCGGAAAATGAGAGAGTGTGGGAGGGGGGGGGGGTTTGGAAAGGGAAGGAAAAGGGTAAAACAAAACCACCAACCAACTCTACACGTAACAGTGCTAACTGTTAACATTGTCTAGCGTATATAATCCACTATGGGATAGTTTAATATGAATTTAAAATCTGTCTTCTCTGGTGTGCTATTTTACTACCAGTAGTAACGCATAAATGTATATTTACATGTGTGTGTGTGCGAAAGGAAACAACATGTGTTTGCAAAAGCCATCATCGTGCTATTAACTCTCTCTCTCTCTCTCTTTCTCTCTCTCTCTTTATCTCTTGTGTATTTATGTAAATATATATTTCTACAAACAAACGTGTATAAATATTTTTATAAATATACTTTGTCTAAAGGCATTGAAAAAAATTCAATATAGATTTTTTTAAATACTCCGCATTTAAATGTTTCATTCTGTATATTATATGTACGTTTATTCAAAAATACGTTTAGAAAAAAAATTAAAACAAAAAAAAAAAAAAAAGAACAAAGTTATAATTCAGTACGCTTTGGAAAATTTTAAAGACAAAAAAAGAAGAACAAACAAGTACAATATTTTATGAGGTATTTAAAATAGAATACATTTCTAGAAACTCCAAATTTAAATGTTTCATCCTGTATATTATATGTACGTTTATTCAAAAATACGTTTAGAAAAAAATTCAAACCAAAAAGAGAAAAATGTTGCAATTCAGTACGTCTTGGAAAATTTAAAAGACAAAAAAAGAACAAAAAAAAAAATACAATATTTTATGAGGTATTTAAAATGGAATACATTTCTAGAAATTCCAATTAAAATATTCCATTTTATATAATATATTTATTTATATAATATATTTTTAATTATAATATATATATATATATATAATAATTATTATATTATCTTATATATATAATATATTTTGTAATATATTTTTTTTCCTCAAAAAGTCGTTGGTCATTCTCCTAAAAAAAAAAAAAAAAAAAAAATAAAAAAGTAAATAAAAGTAAATAAATTAAGAATTTAGGTTTCTTTGTGAATTGAAAAAGGAAAGGAAGGTCGATCAAACCAGAGTGAAAAGTAAACGAACGGAAGAAGAGTAAAGGCAAGGATTAATTGCAGAAAGAGAGAGAGAGAGAGAGAGAGAGAGAGATAGAAATGACTGAAACTCTGAAACTCGATGATAGGCAAGCCTCCGATAGTACTTGTGGCACACTTTAAAGCCTTAATTAAGCGTAGACGCAAATGACTCGGTTTATTGAGGCGAGTCGATCTAAAACACCGATCGGCCGATTATTCGACGTGAAAGACCATCATCCCCTAACTATTCTCGATCAATACCTTGCTACTCTCAATCCCGGCAATGTTTGCTTTTGCAATTGCGATTCGTACGAGGGTACCACCACTAGAAAATTTTCATCTTAAGAATAAATTCAAAAAAACAAAATTAGAATTTTAAAAGATTTATCACAGGTTCATTTTTATCGTCCCTTTTATCATTTCTATCTTAATTCGTAAAGTAATAAATTTATTACAAGATAAATAAAAAAAAAAAATATGTGTGCATATCACACAAGTTAGAAGTGAAACCTTCAAATAAACAAGTTTCGAGGATAATTTATAATATAATATTATTATAATATTATTTATACTTTTAATTTGTAATTATATTTATTTAATTATTAATTTAATTATAAAAATGCGCGCCTGTTCGTATGCAACTCTTCAGACACACTTTAAAAATGTTGCTTGCGAGCGTCATCTACTGGAACGGAATTTTTGTGCAGTCAAAACTGTTTATACACGTATGTATGACGGGTTGCCTATCATTTGGGCAGAAATAAAAATTCCGTCCCGACAGATGACGCTCGCAAGCAACATTTTCAAAGTGTGTCTGGAGGGTTGCATTCATACTGGCGCGCATTTTTATAATAATTACAAAAAAAGTAAATAATAAAACACTTTAAAAAAATGTTTACAAATAAAATATATTTATAAATAAGAATAACCGCGTTTCATTTTGTCAAATCAAACCCAGTCTAATGAAGTTTTCACATCTCACAAAAATAACGAATGAAATGAAGCACTGCACCTTATATAAACCTTTAATTATACTGACACGTGCACAGATTGCGTATAAATGGTGTTTTAGATTTTTCTTTATTTATTTAAAGATACGAAATAACTTCGAACGATTCAATATGTATGTAATATTGTAAAATGTATGCAAACAAATATTTGCATAAATAAGATTGATGTAAATAGAAAATATTATGATAGAGTACGATAACGTTTAACCCGTTATTAAATGTAAATTCTCTTTAGAGAAGGTTAGAGATTCTCAGTAAAATAATTACGAAACGTTAACGTTGTCTATTTATACGAAGGAAAGTGTAATCTCAGTGGGTATCGGTTTTGTCTGTGGCATAGAAGTATATGCACTCTATGGCAAAGCAATTTCGGTCCCTGCAAAAGCATTACCAAGTAGAATTCATTAAATAGTTACAAGCCGTGGTTTTAAGATGAAAACGTACTATAAACGTTATTGATCCTCGTTCGGCACACCTGTTGCATTAACTATGCGTACGAGTTTGGTCACGTTACCTTTTTTAATTCCCAAAGATAATTTTAACGAACTTTCTATTATTTTCTATTATTTATTACTCTAATATCAAGTTATCATTGTAATAATTATTAGATTTGAAAGTTCATGAAATTTTATCATCATTCAAAAAATGTTCATTAAGTTAATATGATTTTAATTACATTTAAATTACTATTTACATTACTACTAAATAATTGAAATAAAAAAACAACAAAAAAATGTAATTTACTATTCAAATGACATCAAATTCTAATTTAGAATATTTGTCAGTAAATTCTATGAACTTACTAAGAAATATTTTATTAATAATAAATAACATTTATATTAATTTTAATACCGTATAAAATATAATATTTGGAATTAATTTACGACAGATTATTAGAAAATGTTTAATATATAATTTTTGTAAAAGATAATAATATAATCGTATAAATTTTATTGACGTTTGTTTTTTAATTGGAAAGAAAAGAAAAAAAAGAAAAAAAATAAGAAGATAGTCACGTCATTTATAGTAATCTTAGAAATTTTATAGATGAAACTAATTGCCTTAAAGGATGCACCCATTCTGTTAAAAGCCCTCAAACTTGAGCCGTTATAATCTCGTAGACCGGATGACTGTACCGTCAAGATTATTTTAATCCTCCAACTCTTATCCCATCTCTTAATCGTGAATTCTCTCAAGCTCTTTTCTACCATTAATCTTATTGACGGTCGGAATAGGTTTAAATAAATATTTTAACCAATCGTAAATTTTCCGAAGAAGAAGAAGAAAACATCGGAGAAGGATATTATCAAATAAAAATACAAAAAATATCATATCGACCATACGAATAAATAAACAACTTTTTCCAATCCATTCGCAAAATAAATCGTCAATCAATTTTACTCCTATTTTCGATTTTTCCAAATTACATTGATTTTATATATACATATCTTTAAAAAGCTTACCTGGTTTCATAGCTTTCAAATCAGTTTCGATCACTTCGGAATGACCCACGCATAAATCCGGATTAGCATTTTCAGGAAAAAGATCGCAATCGAGATAATCCGGAAGTGTCAAGTCGAATACCTCGAAAAAGAATCCACATCGTCTTTTGGTTTCTGTAAAATAATAAAAAAATAAAAAAACAAAAAATTGATTTCTAAAAAATCCAATATCACAATTTTAAATAAAAGTTTAAACAATTGTATTACACAATTCGCGAAAGGAATCATTGCAATTAATGCGTTGAACGCCACATGAATTCTTATGGAAATCTTCGTCAGGCCACGTGGGACAAAATGAAAAGTGAACGTCAGGCACAGGTGCTTGACATGGCCTAAACTTAAAGTTCCGGTGTCAGTCACTTATGACTGACATGACACTCAACGTGTTTATATATTTTATCATTCATAATCGTTAAATTTTATAATTACATTGAAAATAATAAAAAAAAAAAAAAAAAGAAAAATTCATTTTAAAGACAAATAATATTAGAAAATAGTACGTAAATCAATTTACCATTGCATAGACTGCGACAGGGTCGAACAACCTGACCACGGGGTCCACATTTGGGTACAAAGATGCTGCAGAGAAATAGGGCTGCCAATTCGTAACACCTAACGTCTACCACTGCGTTATATAATTGCAATTCCTGTTGGGCGTCTCGTTGACCAAAGTTACCCATGTAATTTGGGAAGACCGTAAAGTTGTAAGGGATCTGTAAAACGAATTTATATACGAACGATTCTATATAACAAAGATAGAGAAACACTGAAAGAGAAAGAGAAAAAGACAAAGTTTTGTAATTTACCAACGAACAAAGTTTACAAAGGGCAAATAATTGTTCTATGATCGTGAAACGTTCGTTGGTCGGTCGGTGAAATAAAAAAATATTTAACAAAGAAAAAAAAATACAAAGAAAAAAGAAAAGAGGGAAAACAGAATAATAAAAAAAAAAAACCCCTAAAGTAAAAATTAGTAAAAATATAATATTAACAAAAATAAATCGAATGAGGAGGGAAGGGAGATGGGAAATGACACTTATGGATGGTGGTAGGATTTACGGGAATGTATGTAAAAATCCCGTTTCTAAAAGCAGTCGATTCTTTTTTCTTTTTTTCTTTTTTTCTTTTTTTTTCGCAAAGTTCGCCGATTATTCGGCCGAGTTGCCCGTTCACGTAGCACAGGGATGACGCGAGAGTCGTTTTATGAATTTTTAATAGGAAAGCTTTTCGTGAAAGACCGAGAGAGAGAGAGAGAGAGAGAATTAAGCGAAAGGTGACACTTGAAAAAGGGTCGACTTAAAAAAAAAAAAAGGAAGGAATTAGAAGAAAAAAAAAAATAAAGTAATAGAAGGTAGATGCAAAAACGACACGAACAATTTATTCCAACGACGGAAATGTTAAATTATCGTCGAAGACGTCGTGAACACGCACACATATGTCTGAATATATATTTTAAGAAAAATTTAGTAAAAATCAAATGAGAGAGAGAGAGAGAAAGAGAGAATTCGAATGAACATAGAAAATGTTGAAAGGGTCAACAATTTATTCGAATGTGGAAAATGTGAAATTATCATCCACACACACACACACACACAAAAGCATATTCAAACAATCATTGTAAAAAAATCTTCAAAAGGATATCGCTCATATAGTAGATAAATCTTTAAAAAAAGGAACTGATCAAAATAATAAAATTGATAATTGAAATAAATTTCGGATTTTATAATAATTAACGTTTATCGACTTAATTTTTATGTAGAAATATTCTTAAAGCATATTTTTCTAATGGACTAATTAATTTCATATGTTTGTGTGTGTGTGTGTATGTAATATCTTTGCCACATAGTGAAACCCTGGAATCTCGCGAATGAATTCCGTCGGAAGACGTTGCTTGTACCAGCCGCGATCGATTAAAGAGGATGACTACGGGTTCCATTTAGAACACACCGACACACTGCCACTTTAAATTACGTTAGAGAGAAAAGGGATACTTTTCAATTACGTTTAGATTAACTTCTAATTACTCACGATGTTTCTCCTCGTCTTAATTAATTCATTTAATGATGATTTTATTCAGAGTTAAAATAAAAACAAAACAAAAGGTTTGACGTAATCATTCGAAGAGAGAAGACTAAACAAAACAAAAGAATAATTTCATATTGATAATAATAATCAAAAAGAAATAGAAGGTATGTTAATAGACCACTTTTGCCGCCCCCCCCCCTCCTCGATCATTTGACAAATGTCAATTAATTTTCATTCACAATAGTGAAATCATTCGAGGAATTAGTGTTGAAACATCTTATACATATCTCTCTCTCTCTCTTCTTACTGGAAATTTTGATTATGCGAATACACGTCGTACCAGAATAACTATCTTTCATTATACAGAGTGAACTATTTTCATTGGATTACCTAAATATATGATTTAATTATTGTTCTGTAAAACAAAACTTGCTAGAATTAAATTGAATAGTTATTATAATATAATTATTATTTTATTAATTAATTATAATAATTAATTATAATTATTATAATAGAATTTAATGTTAAGGAACACATGTTACAATTATAATAATAAACTAGATTTTATATAGTAATTTAAAAAAAAAAAACTATATATACCTCTGGGAATCACCGATATTCTTCTAACGTAACACAACTTATTTATTTTCTGTTATTCGTGCAATTGTCATTGGTTGAAAATTTGTAAAATAATTTAAAAAAAAAAAATTGAACGTGGTCTAAAATAATATCTGAAGATTAAATAATTGAAATGATTATCTCAATAAAAAGTTTCATTATAATAGAACAATATAAAGAAGGTAAATATTTATTTAAGTCTGTCTAATGAAACCTAGTTCATACTGTAGACAAAACACTAGCGGATTCTTAATTACCTTGTGATATTGACAAAAGCTGACTATCACTGGCAAACAGATACCAGGTGCAGGATTCTTCTCTTCTTCTTCTTCCTGTATCATTATACGCATAGGTTCAGTCACTGTAATTATACTCGTATACATCGTTCTGTTCTCGAATCTTATGGCAATTTCAGGATACGCTGTAAAATTTCCCAAAAAAAGAAAACGAATATTAAATCATCTTAGTATAAGTCAACAATTTTTAAAAACATGTAATTTTATCGAATGAAATAAACAAAAAAACAATTGACATTTTTAAAATGATCCTGGAACATTATACCAATACAAAAATTCATCATCATGATCAATCATTTTTGTATAATCATGTATATGAAAATGCTTTACAGTATATTATAGTCTTTTATTAGAAACTTAAATCGTGACATAAGAATAACAGAGAATATTTTCTTGTATAAACAAACACCGTATGCAATCTTGTGTTTACTGTAAACATAATACTCCTATTTGAAATAGTCACGTAAGAGATGGAGGTGAAACAAAGAGAGAGAGAGAGAGAGAGAGAGAGTATTATTGATCTTTTAGTACCACAAAGCAGATCATACGTTCTACATCGAAATTGCACGATCGATTCGACTAATCCTTGAAATTGCTTTCAAAAATCTCATAATGAAACCAAAAGCCTTGAAAACATCAGCAAAATTGACTAATATACTTTAATGATTGACTATATTGACTAAAAACTTCATTACTTCGTTGAATCTACGTAAAAAAAAAAAAAAAGAAAAACTCTGATGTTGATCCATTGAACAATTTAGTCGAAATTTAGGTCATGTAAAACTTGAAATTGTATATTTAGTAATTACTAGATAATTAGTAAAACGATCTTATTAAATATCTCAATGTGAACGTGTATTATTTCTAATAAAGAAAATGTATAAAAAAGAAAAAGAAATGTTATTATTTTTTAAGTACAATTTAAATCTTACTTTTATAATATGCATTAAATCCAGCAACAATGGCTAAAAGTGCAACAACGTTGGCCAATAATTGCACGTATCTGAATCTTCCTCTCGTTACGTAATGACGATTAGCCATGTCCTTGATTATCTAAAAAAAAAAATAAGAACAAAAACATACATACATATATATATATATAGAGAGAGAGAGAGAGAAAGAGAACACGTGTGATAAATTTCAATCATATTAAGTATAATAATATAAATCATGTGGTATACTCGAGACTATAGTTCGAACATTAAACTACCGTTAACAACGATTATGGTCACATTTACGAGATGGACATCGTTTTAACACTTCACAACTCAACCCCATTTTCCTGACCAATGATTCACAGTTTATCGTTCAAATACTTCAAGCTTCTGCTCGTGAAAATGTTAAATGCCTCACAATAGTGTCGAGTATTTAACCACGAACATTAACCAAGCCAACAGAGTGTTCACGTGAATCGCAATGTCAAGTTTTTATTGTCTGAATTGTACAGAGAGAGAGAAAGCTTGTTAAATGCTATAGACATTTGTTTTGTTTTTTTTTGAAAAAGACAAAGAAAAAGAAAACAACATTTAATTGAACAACATTTCATTTTAAAATTCGTAATAATTAATTATTTTTTCTTAATGCATTCGTTGGCTGTATATTTAATAATAAATGTAAAGTTAAAATTGTCTACAACTTACCTTATGATGCAAAGACGTGCTGTTGCTACCATGAGTTCTAACGATAGTTTGTAAGCTCGCAGGTGTGCTAGTTGATTTAGTTATTGGCCTACCCGATGAATTGTCAGGTTCGTGAACCAAAGCTCTGTCTATAAATAATAATAATATGACGATTGTACATTGCAAATTATAATCAAAAAAAAGGACAAAAAGAAAAAAGAAGAACTTTTACGATTACATTTAAATAAGATCTTAATTACCTGGCAATTTCCCATATTTATGTGGTAGCAAAGGTGCTTCCATAGTTTTGTTTGTGTAACTCGGTGAACTTGTTTGACTAAAACTATCTGATGAAACATTGCTATCTTGTCTAACGTTGATTGGTTTTGGCACATAACTTTGACAAATCGCACTAAGCGGTGGTGGTAAATTAGTTTGCGTAGCTTTAGGTAATTTTTCTAATTTTTCAATACCACTTGATCTTTCCTTTCTCGTATTATGTTGTAACATATTTCTAGCTTTTTCCATATCATTGTCATATTTGGCACGCGTTGATTGATCTATGACGGATCTTTGATCGGACAACAATCTTCTTTCCAATTCTTGCGGTAATCTCGAAGGATCTTCGTATCTGTTTGATCATTTGATTAAATAAAAAAAAAAAAAAGAATTACAAAAAGATTTATTTAACATTTTAATAAATGTCTCTCTCTCAATAATAGAAATATTTTGGAATATAGAAAATTTGAAAATATCTTGATTATAATATATACGCGAATAGAATAATAAAAAGTTTACCTAGATATTGATCTATCTTTATTCAAACGTCTTTCCATGTCTTTGTAACGACGTTGATCATCCTCCTCGTTCTTACTCTGTAGACGTCGTTCGAGATTTTTCGAAACTGCTTGAAGTTCCTCAAACTTCGATCTTTTCTCTTCTTCTCGATACAATCTAACCAGTCCGACGAACTTTCGTTCCTCCTGAAAAGTGTCTCGAGTAGACTCAGACATTTCTTCTTCAGATATTCCCTCCAGTGTTTCCTCCTCGACACTTCTTCCCTCGATGCTTTTCTCTTCTTTACGAAACTTTCCTCCTCCTCCTCCTCCTCCTCCTCCTTCTCCTGGCTGTTGTCTGAGCGAGCCAAAAATATTCAATCATTTTCAATTCAATTGCAAGATTTCATTTTCATCATGTATTTTTCATAAAATAATTGTAAGAAATTGAATGAACCACTGCAAACGATATAAATCGATTAAATAGGTTAAATGCTGATTAAAATTCTTAATGTTGAGAGTACCTACCACTCGTATGGGTAAGGTAATCAAATACTTTATCAAGATGTAGCAGGAAATTTACGGTCGGTTTGACGAACCTCTTACACGTGCAACCGTCCAGAATTCTAGATGATTCAAATTTAATTCGAATGAAGTATCTTCTAACGAAAAGCTTATTGCCATCGAATCAAGTAGACTCAAACATTGTTAAGATAGATTACTACTACTATACACTTTAAACATTTCTTTAAAGAACTATAAATAGATACGGGATGGTCTAATTTTTTGTTTGAAAATAATCTTCAAACTGTAATCTACTTTCAACTCGAACAACTCGACAATTCAAAACGAATTTGATTAAAAACTAATTTGCGAAATTTTTCTAATTATTTTCTTAAAGGGGGAAAAAAAAAGAAGTCATCCCCTCACGTATAAAAGATAGGCTGTCAAGATTATTACGACAAGTGATGGAGCAGTAAACTTTAGAAAGAACAAAATGATGATTATTTGAAAGACATAATTTAAAAAAAAAACGAATTGAAAATCATTGCTCCAAAAAATAAAAAAAATAAAAAAAAAAGTATATTTATTGTTCTATAAAATAATAAAAATGTGAATATTTGTTATTTACACCGAAAAAAATTATGAAATGATTGGGTGAGTAAATTTAACAAAAAAAAAAAATTTCCAAAAATTGATCAAATAAAATAATTGTCCATTTACCTGATATTTTGATTTTGAAGATTTTGTTGCTGTCTATCATCTTCTCTTTCATTTAAAATATCATTGAAATTAGTTTCGTTGTTCTTGATAGTCCTTTCGTGAAGGTTCTTCTCAAGATCACGTGAAGCCTTTCGAAGTTCATCGAGGTTTGATTGTCGTTTCTCAAGCTTTTCCTCATCCGAGAAATTAACTTTAGGAAAGTTAGCTATGAAGTTACTATTCTCATTGGCGCTGGCCATGTCCTTCGATTCAAAAGCCAAAGAGAAATCCTGGGATGGTTGGTGATGATGATTATTATGAGCTCTAAATGGTCCAAGGTCTATCAATTTCTTATCGATCAGGACCGTCTGTCCATTCCAAGAAGAATTCGTAAAATGACAAGCAACTTGTGGTGGTGATGATAATGACGATGACGTATTTGAATCTTTTTTTTTTCCTTTACAGTTCGACGTACCACCTTCGCATCTGTTATTTTTTGATTTTTCAATTGGTATTGGTTTCTCGTTTTTCGATCTTTTTGGTATTGCTGGTGGACGTATTGGTATTGGAGGTGGTGCTACCTAAATTCAACACGTCCACACATTTTCTTTGATTACTTTTAATTTATTCCTTGGTGTTTGTAAATATATTTAATTAGCAATAAAAAAAAAAAATATATATTAGAAAATTATTTAAAAATAACATAACTAAACTCATTGTAATGCAACAGTGAATATGTAAGAAAATATAATTATAAACATATATTTATTTTAAATATTTTTCATTCATAGTTTCATGTAATACTTTCATTCATAATTCATGTAACATATTATTATTCATTTGATGTATAAATGAATTTCAACGTGGCAAGGAACGTGTTCAAATAAATGAAAGTTAACATCGTATATACTTGCTGTGTAGTATTTTGAAGAATGTTATAACTGTATGGGTGCTTGTAGATATATTTCCAGATTGCACGTGTGTCGTGTTGTGACTTGTATATATATGTGTGTATTTATGTGTGATGACGAACTAATCGAATAATTATACACACATCCAAAATAGTTTCTGTTAAATAAAAAAAACCAACAAATTGATTAAAACATTATTTTTCTTTTTTTTATATGATGGCACGTGTGTGTGTGTATGTGTGTGTATGTACTTGTAATTCAGATATTTATAAAGTAAAAGATAATTACCGTAGGTGCCGCCGAATGACGACGTGGAATAGGTGGTGGCATATTATTTTCGTTGGTAGGTGGTGGTTCTGGAAGTAGTGATGCACGTGGTGGTAATCCGACGCTATGAATTCTACTTTGTCTGCAATAAAAAAAAAAGAAAAAAATTGCTTTTTACCGATGATCCATCATTTTCAATTTTCATTAACATGCTGTTAGATAAATAAATTATTAGCACGTGTAGTAAAAGAGATTATAATTTATGATTATTTTTCTTTTATCGTTACATTCAATTAATTATGTATACATTTTTTTCTTTTGCACAGATATCCTCTTTAAAATCGTAAATCTTAATCCCCTTGGGTAATTGTTATTATTAATTTAATTTCACTTTCGTTATTATCTTAAGACTTATAACGTAATGCTCATGTAAAATCTGCAAAAGCTAAAGAGTTCTTATTAACGTCGACCAAAGTTACAGGATTTGCTGAAGCTTCGGCATAAGTGTTAGAAGCAGACAGAAGCACTCAACGAACTATTACTGCTATCGACATTTTCGAGTTTGCAATATTAGAAATCGAAAGGGTAAAGTAAATTGAGAAATAATTGATAATTCGATAATCAGATATTTATGTTTATTCAATCAACAACAACAACAACAACAAAAATAAGAAAATTATGTTCTATCATAAAACCTATCGTAAATTATATAAAAATAATTAAAATAATTGACAATTAATTGAACATTTGTTGTTTGCAATTAATAATTAATTGATATGTGACAAAAAGATAATTAGATAAAGAAGATGTGCGATTTATATCTATTTTAAGAATATAAAGAAAAGAAAATAAGAGCAAGAAATATTAGTAGACATTGATGAATGAACGTATAAGCTTAGATTAAATATGAACACACACCAGTGCATTCATAAAGGGATACGTAAAATTTCTCGGATGAAAGTCTACGTATTCTGAATATCCATTTCATATGCATCAGCATCTTCTCTCGTTCTTGCTCACCCTTTCTCTATTCGTTGCATCTTAATTTGAAGACTGTTTACCAACCGACAAACTTCAACTCTTAGAAGCCCATGAATGCTTCCTTGCAAGCTAATCGAAATTCATTCGCTATTCTATCTCATGACTGATAAAGGATCGATTTAAATGTATATTACTTGAAATATTAAATAAAAAGGTTTAATATCCTTTGAAAGACTTTTCAGTATCCTTTTTAAATGGTATAYTATATTTGTAAAATCAATTTTTCAAAAATATTTCTCAATTTATATCAAAATCTTGGATGTATTTACAAATTTCAAAATGTCTACCTTGCTTTAAATTGTTTTTAATAATTTTAAACATTTATTTTAAATCTTTCAAACTTAAAACGATTAATGGATAAAATAATATCTGACTCAGGTGCATCTAAAAGGTTGGTGTTGTATAAAATAAATTTGTAAACTGTAACAATCGTTATAACGATGATCGTAATAAATATAATATAATCAATTTGATACTATATATTTCGTAAAGAAGAAATAAAATGGTCAGTAATAAAATAATAATCCTCTCTTAGATTGAAATAAACATAGTCAAGATAAATTCATCATTTCTATGAAAAAAAATAAAAAAATAAATAAAAAAAAATAAAAAAATGAAATTACTTAGAAATGAAATATTCTTGTTTTTATACATTTTATAGAAAACTTAATTGAAATCTAGAAATGATTAAAATTCCACAAATATTATTATTATTATTTTTTTTTTTTTTTTTAATAAATGCATCTTTCCTTTAAAAGTTAACTTTCGAATTAATATAATCTGACGATTTGATTATTATTATAATTTTACGATATTCATTCGTATTTTTGTTTCAAAAATTAATCAGTTAGATTTGTTCTTATCAATTCACGAACATCAAAATGAAATAATTATTAAATGAAACATCAATTTGTTGATATTTTTTACCTCGGTTGTCGAGTTGGACTCAAATCACCGCCACGAGTATTCATCGT